ATTCCAAAACACAACCACAAAATTTCAACCTAAATTTCGCTCAGCTCTAAGAAATTCCCACTCAAAATCTATCCTAAAAATAAATTCCTACTGTTTCTGTAAGAAATTCTTTTCATCGCAGTAAACTTAACTATTGTTCTAAACGCATCCAGATGAACTTCTCTCTCTCTAAAAAAAAAACGAAACAAAGCAATCAAAAAACAACTCACCACAAAATATCCGTGCATCAATCTGCGGGTACTTACTCATGAGCACTTCGACAACTTTCTGCGCCGGATCACTCGAGTCATGAACGCAGAATAACAGCTCATACTGAAATTACTCGCTGAATATTTCCAGCAAAACAATATTTCCATGATATTAAACATGAAATTCATCACACAAATCACGTAAGCAATATACCAAAACGATATAATTTAGAATAATCAGGAACAAAATTTGCTTATTGTTAGCATTTATTAACGTTACATCCTTAAAACTATATGTGATCATTATTGAAGAACATTGAAGTATATCTTCTATTATCCTTATTCGTTAAAAATATATCTGATCAGTACATCTAATCAAAGTATACCAGATCATTAGCGTGAAACTTCTTGAATAAACAATTTATTCAATAGACACAAATATATCTGATCAAAACAATACGATTAAGAACATTTAAATCTGAGAATCTGTCTAGTAATCACGAGTGTTACATCACTTTAGACAAGATTATATCCGAAACTGATCAACTACGCACACATCAATAAATAAATCCTAAGAACCAAAATCCTACCGTAGGATATTTCATTCGGAAGAAACTCTCGAGGTTGAAGAACAAGTTCTCATCAGTCCCTACCAACGGTTTAATGATCGACACACCAGCCACATCACGTCTCGGAACTATTGGTCGATAAAGACGATACTTACTGAAAGCAAAAACTCTTCAAAAGTTTCCACTCTACTCTGTGGCCCGAACAAACCTCAAAGGTTCAGCAGCATCCACTGGATCGCTTCTTAACTCTTGTCTAACAGTCCCTCATCTAATAGCCCAACACACCCCTTACTGCACAATTCCATCAAACAATAACAACATATGAATAAAACTGGACCCAAAAAAGGAATATAACTGATAAAAAAGCGAATGAAATGTCGAGAGCAAAACGAACGCGTAACAAATGG